TGGGTGTACGTGCGCTGCAATCTGATTGGCTGAAACTTTAAACAGCTATAACTCCCTTGGTTTCCAACCAAACAGAATGGGATTTGGAACATAGATAGATATAATGGACTACTACAAGAAAGGTATGGTCACCATGCCACATGCATACACGTGCGTGTACGTGCGCTGCAATATGATTGGCTGAAACTTTTAACAGGTATAACGCCCTTGGTTTTCAACCATATGTGGTATAGATGTCGAACATAGATAGATGTAATGGACTTCTACAAGAAGGTATGGTCACCGTGCTCATGTATGCACGTGCGTGCACGTGAAAGAACAAAATCAAAAATACACTTAAATGAGCGTATTTTTATTACTTTTGGATTAAATACTTTAATTTTTAGTATATTAAAGTATATGGATTGTGTAGATAAAATGATATGGTCATTACGCACAAGCATTCGCACGCATGCAATGCTAAAATTTGAATGAACTTCGTAATCTTCCGGGTATATGTTGTTAAAGTCTCAAATACTTAGAGTTTGTCTTATTTAATGAAGCTTACAGGTAATATGGCACAAAAAGAGAGTTGGGGAGCGTTTGGGGAACATCTGTAACGGTCCCCGTTACAATTAGCACTAGTTATTATTATTTTTCTTCTTCTTCTTCTTCTTCTTCTTCCTGGGTACTTTTTTGTCCCGGAGTGATCTTGTAAACTACACATTATTGACGTAGGTAAAACCTTTTTAGGGTCAGTAGGCATGTTATGTAGATTTGCGGAACGAAGGTCATTTTGCGCGCACGTGCTTGCAAGAGCGCACACGTGCAACACGTGAAATGACCAATATAATAGATATAGCCGTAACTTTTCTATTTTTTGATTATATGCTTTAAAACTCAAAATATAAGTATATATTAGTAGTATAGACATGATGACATGGTCAAAATAGCAAGAACTCACGCGCATGCACGTGCGCTTCGCTCTGATTGGCTGAAACTAAAATCTCAATATCTTTCTTGTTTTTTGACAAAATCCTTTGAAATTTTGAATATATTCATAGACTTTGAAGATCTACAGCATGATTACTAAGAATTATCATGAAAGCATGTGCATGCACGTGCTGCAATCTGATTGGCTGAGACTTTAAATGTCTATAACTTTCTTAGTTCTCAACGAAACTAGATGAAATTCAGAATATGAATAGGTATAATGGATTTCTACATTATGCATCTATCAAATTTAAATTCAAGAACATGCATATATGCCCGTGCGCACGCGCAATACGTAAAATAACAAATATATTTGAAAAACAGTAATATTTATATTTTTATGATATTTTTATCAATTCTCACGATAAACAGATATGTTAATGGTTTAGACAACATGCCATTATTAGCTTGCATGTGCGTGCGCATGCAATACGTTAAATGGGATATAGTTGATATCATTGTAGTTTTGATAATTATATGATGAAATCCTTTAATACTGAGCATATTTTTAAAAAGTCTTACAGGTAAAATGGCATAAAAAGGGAGTTGGGGAGCGTTTGGGGAACATCTGTAACGGTCCCCGTTACAATTAGAACTAGTTTTTACTCTGTTTCTTATTATTATTATTTTTCTTCTTCCTGGGCACTTTTTTGTCCGCGAATGATCTCGTAAACTACACATCCAACTAAGATGAAATGTTTTTAGGGTCAGTAGACATGTTATGTAGATTTGCGGAACGAAGGTCATTTTACGCGCACGTGCTTGCAAGAGCGCGCACGTGCAACACGTGAATAACCAATATAATGTATAGTGCCGTAACTTTACTATTTTTTGATGAAATGTTTTGAAATTCATAATGAAAGGATGTATTAGTAGTATAAACAAGATGACGTGGTCAATATGGGAAGATCTCACGCGCATGCACGTGCGCTACGCTCTGATTGGCTGAAACTTAACTCTCAATATCTTTCTTGTTTTTTGACGAAATCCTTTGAAATTTTGAACATAGCCATGCATTAGGATATCCTACAAAATGATATATAGGAATTATCATGAAATCACGTGCATGCACGTGCGCTGCAATCTGATTGGCTGAAATTTTAAATAGCTATAACTCCCTTGGTTTTCAACCAAACAGGATGGGATTTGGAACATAGATATATATAATAAACTTCTACAAGAAGATATGGTCACCATGCACATGCATACACGTGCGTGTACAAACACTGCAATCTGATTGGCTGAAATTTTAAATAGCTATAACTCCCTTGGTTTTAAACCAAACAGGATGGGATTTGAATAAGATATATATATATATATATATATATATATATATATATATATATATATATATATATATATATATATATATATATATTGAAATAAAATAAAAAGGCAACACTTGTAAAAATGTAAGCGCTTTCCTTGTTTTCTTCAGACGTTTTAAACAATTTAAACTTGTGACGTAATAACGTTACCTAGTGGTAACGTCAAAAACAATACAATGACGTCACAATACTGAAAGTAGAAATTTTGACATGAGTTAAAAGAAAATAAACATACTGTTTGCATACAAATGTCTGTGTTTTACAAAACTATAAAAATGTCTAAAGTGAACTATTTAGTGATGGTTTTAACAGTTTTATAAAGTATTTCTCCTTTTCCCGTCTTTGCACCACATTGTCTGTATAAAGTTGGTAAAACGGAAATACTGAAAATTGTCCCCGGCCACAAATATCAAGATGTCCACTTACATTTATTTTACGGTATTCAGGTTGGTTAATGTGCTGTTTGTGTATGCGGATACGTGTACGTAGTGTGGTTCCAGTTTCCCCAATATAGAATTGTCCACATCCTGCACATGTAATACAATAAATAACGTTTTTAGACTCGCATGTCATGTCTGCCTTTACGGTAAAGTCTTTATTCCCGAAATTAAAGGTACTTCCAGTTTTCATGTAATTGCAGGTTCCACAGCGGAGATCGGAACACTTCTTCACTGAATATAAATGTTGTTGGTGGAATGAGGATTTGCATAATATCCTTCGTAGATTCCTTGGTTGTCGTTTGCTGTTGATAAACGTATACTTTTCTAATACTTTGGTCATTTCCTCATCGGTCTTTAGAACATTGTTTAGTTGACGAACGGTTGAAGTAATATTCTTGTTTCTCGGATTGTGAGTAGTGACCAAAGGTAATATCTTTAAATCTGAAGTTTGGCTTCTGGTTGGATTAATAAGGTATTCTCTGTCCAGTTTTATTGCCTCTTTGATTCCATCTTCAATGATACCCATAGGGTAATACTGTTGAAGGAGATATACTGATATACTGCTAAAACCTTTATGCTCAGAAGTAAAGAGTTATGTTCGCGACGATCTAGACTTTTTGAGACATTTACCAGACAAGGTTGATCATAATTCAAAACTTATTACTATGGATGTTACAAATCTTTACACGAATATTACCACCTCTCTTGGTCTCAAGGCACTTGAATACTGGATCGATAAATATCCACATAAAATTCATTGCCGTTTTAGCAAACAGTTTATTCTAGAGGCCAGTGATATAGTTTTGAAAAATAATACATTCTCATTTGACGATAAACATTATGAACAACGTAAAGGAACTGCCATGGGGACAAAAATGGCTCCAACTTATGCCACCCTCACCCTAGGATACCTGGAGGAAATCATGTACGAAAAAACAAAACAACATTTTGATGAACAGACATCAGGAAGTATAAAAAGTCATTGGAAAAGATACCTGGATGACTGTTTTATCATTTGGAACGACAGTGATGCTAACTTAGAAGCTTTCGTAAATTTGATGAATGACCTGGATCCAGACATCAAATTTACAATGGACAAAAGTTCTCAGAGTATTCCATTTTTAGATATCCTAATAACGAAACACGAGGAGCATTTATCCACTGATATTTACTACAAACCAACAGATACCCATCAATACCTTCACTTTAGTTCCTGCCATCCAAGCCATACAAAACGCGCAATTCCTTATAACTTAGCAAGACGAATCTGCACTATAGTTAGTGACAAAGAAATAAGAGATAAACGTCTAAGTGAATTAAAGACGTTTCTCCTTCAACAGTATTACCCTATGGGTATCATTGAAGATGGAATCAAAGAGGCAATAAAACTGGACAGAGAATACCTTATTAATCCAACCAGAAGCCAAACTTCAGATTTAAAGATATTACCTTTGGTCACTACTCACAATCCGAGAAACAAGAATATTACTTCAACCGTTCGTCAACTAAACAATGTTCTAAAGACCGATGAGGAAATGACCAAAGTATTAGAAAAGTATACGTTTATCAACAGCAAACGACAACCAAGGAATCTACGAAGGATATTATGCAAATCCTCATTCCACCAACAACATTTATATTCAGTGAAGAAGTGTTCCGATCTCCGCTGTGGAACCTGCAATTACATGAAAACTGGAAGTACCTTTAATTTCGGGAATAAAGACTTTACCGTAAAGGCAGACATGACATGCGAGTCTAAAAACGTTATTTATTGTATTACATGTGCAGGATGTGGACAATTCTATATTGGGGAAACTGGAACCACACTACGTACACGTATCCGCATACACAAACAGCACATTAACCAACCTGAATACCGTAAAATAAATGTAAGTGGACATCTTGATATTTGTGGCCGGGGACAATTTTCAGTATTTCCGTTTTACCAACTTTATACAGACAATGTGGTGCAAAGACGGGAAAAGGAGAAATACTTTATAAAACTGTTAAAACCATCACTAAATAGTTCACTTTAGACATTTTTATAGTTTTGTAAAACACAGACATTTGTATGCAAACAGTATGTTTATTTTCTTTTAACTCATGTCAAAATTTCTACTTTCAGTATTGTGACGTCATTGTATTGTTTTTGACGTTACCACTAGGTAACGTTATTACGTCACAAGTTTAAATTGTTTAAAACGTCTGAAGAAAACAATGAAAGCGCTTACGTTTTAACAAGTGTTGCCTTTTTATTTTATTTTAATATTGATTGCCGGACACTGAGATATTTATTTTATTTCTTTTGGATATATATATATATATATATATATATATATATATATATATATATATATATATATATAATCACTTCTATAAGAAGGTATGGTCACCCTGCACATACATACACGTGCGTGTAGGTGCGCTGCAATCTGATTTGCTGAAACTTTAAATAGCTATAACTCCCTTGATTTTCAACCAAACAGGATGGGATTTGGAACATAGATATATATATAATGGACTTCTACAAGAAGATATGGTCAACATGCACATGCATACACATGCGTGTACAAACGCTGCAATCTGATTGGCTGAAACTTTAAACAGCTATAACTCCCTTGGTTTTCAACCAAACAGGTTGTGATTTGAATAAGATATATATATATATATATACATATAATGGACTTCTATAAGAAGGTATGGTCACCCTGCACATACATACACGTGCGTGTAGGTGCGCTGCAATCTGATTGGCTGAAACTTTAAACAGCTATAACTCCCTTGGTTTTAAACCAAACAGGGTGGGATTTAGAACATAGATAGATGTAATGGGCTTCTACAAGAAGGTATGGTCACCATGCTCATGTATGCACGTGCGTGCACGTGAAATGGGTAAAATCAAAAATACACTTGAATGAGCATTTTTTTTTTTATACTTTTGGATTTAGTACTTTAATATTTAGCATATTAAAATATATAGATTGTGTAGAGAATATGATATGGTCATTACCCACATGCATTAACATGCGCAAGTGTGCAATGATAAAATTTGAATGAACATGGTACACTTCTGGGTAAACGTTGTTAAAGTCTCAAATGCATAAAGTTTGTCTTATTTAATTACGCTTACAGGGAATATTACTATGAAACGGAGTTGGGGAGCGTTTGGGGAACATCTGTAACGGTCCCCGTTACAATTAGCACTAGTTCCTTTTGTTTCATGAAAATTTTTTCAAAGTGCGTTAAATGTTTACATGGTGTAAAATTATGATGTACAGTTTTAACGCACTTTGAAAAATTTTTTTCAAAGTGCGTTGATTTGGTCCCAAATTCAACGCACTTTGAAAAAATTTTTCAAAGTGCGTTAACCTGGTCCCAAAACTTAACGCACTTTGAAAAGATTTTTCAAAGTGCGTAATTTTTCAAAGTGCGTTGTAACAGACATAAATGAAACAATGTCTTGCATTCTGTAACTATTCATTAACTGTCACTATCATCATGTGGACTAAATGAAAAAAGATTGCTTTTAATTAGATTTTTTCCCTTTCCTTTCAGATCTACATGTATTTGACAAAAAAAAAACGTAATTAAGACGGATTTTTTGTTAAATAATTTTGCATGATTATCTTATTCTATTGATCTTAAATTATTTTGCATATAGTGATTAATTATCAAAGGTGAATAGCACAAGGTGATACTAGTAATTCCTTCCAGTAAAATACAAGGTTTGATCCAAAAGCATTATGGCTTTACACATAGGTCTTTGACCATAACCTTATGATCATTATGGTGAAAGACTAACATATGAAGCCATAATGCTACAATTCTGCAGCTGACATGAAAGTTGCATGTCCTTTGGATGAGACGACCTTATAAATCAAGGCCCCATGTATGGCATGCGTAAGCATGATGAAGATCTCACTGCTCCATGGCCCAAGTGCCAAGTAAATAAAGTCCTTAACAGGTACATACACAAAGTTAATATGATGATGTCTCTTTATGAGTGAAAATTCTCAAACGGGATGTAAAACAACAGTCAATCAATACTACCATGTAAATTGGCCATTTTTTGTTCCTTGTCCAGCGGTAATATTGATTGATTGTATGATGTTTAATGTCCCTCTCCAGAATTTTTCACTCATATGGAAATGCCACCACTCGTCGTAAGAAAGCTGTTAATATTGTACATGTACTATACTTAAAACCATTGAGCAGGGAGGGATGTTTTCGTGCAAGCTCATACTGCAACACAGGACCTCAGTTTATATGGTCTCATCTGAATGACCAGTCTCCATGTCCCACAGGGGGATTCGAACCCATGACATAAGGATTTACTTCTCTACTCTAGAGCTGAGACTTTAACCACTGCGCCACACAGGCGATGCCATTGGTAATAAAATACTCTTTTATAAATTAAAAAAAATCAATTATTTTTGTAACGATACTTAAGTTTATAATTTCAACTTAGTAACAAAAAAATGTAGTATAATCATGTACCTGTAGCTTAAGATAAGCAAAACTTAAAATATTGCATATTCTTTTGATGTTTTTCTAAATCAAAAATATAGAAGATTCTAATTACAAAAATATACATCTTTTAAAAACAAAAACAAAATAACTCCTATGTTTTCAGTAAAGTAAATATAAAAACAGAGAAACAAGTAACATAAATGTATCACCTTCCCCTCAAACACAACCATAAATAAAATTCATGTAAAACGTATTTATCTACACTTAGGGAATTTTCTTTCAGACATTGATGAAACAAACCAAGATATTCTTTAAAGCCTTCTGTGAAGGTGGAATATTTCAAAAATGAATGGTATGGAACAACAGTACTGTTGTTAATGGCATATCTATATTTCTTTTAATATTTCCTTGACTTTTCTGCTTTAAGAGAATATTGAGGCACTGAATGTTTAAAAACCTGAAAAAAAAAAAATGAAATGAAATTTGTGCAAAACAATGTAGGCTAAGAGTAAAAAAGCATGTCTTCTATGCTTTATAATTACTATTATTAATTCTTCAGATTGCAATACATAAATATAATGTATCCGCAATCTAAATATTTTCCGTAATTACTATATATATGTAGTATGGAAAGGAGGAATGAGTAAACATACATTGAAAATTCATAAATACATATATATTGAAAACATTATGGCTGGACCGGGAATCGAACCTGGGACCCCTGTATTTCTAGTCAGGTGCTCTAACCACTGAGCTATCCAGGCCGATGTCCTCAGTCCAGCCTAATTTCCTACATATATAACAAAGTAATTGCTTTTAACATTTTATAATGAACTTGTCTACATCAGACTCTTAACCCTCTGACTAGCTGTCGGTATATCAATTATAGAACATACTAAGGTGGTTAGGTCACATTCTAATGCAACTGTTAGTAAAGTGCTTTTGATTTTATACTACACTAATATTTGACATCTGGTTAAACAAATATTAAAATTAAAATAAGAATAAACGCTTTTGACTGTAACATCATACATGTTATAAGATGATGCAAAAACAAGTTTTATGATGCATTTCATGTTACATGTACAAAATTAAACAAAATGAAAAGTAAACATCAGAGAAAATGCATAGATTGCATTGGAATGGAAATAACTATTTTCTCATTTCTTATTTGCAATCAATAATGTTGATTTATGATTAAATGGATTTATTCATTTTACCAACTCTGCTTATGCATCACCTTAAAAAGCTCAGTTTGAAACCCTTAAAATAGCATTAACATTGACTGTTACAAATAACAAGAGGGAAAATAGGTCCTCCAAAATTAACTTCATGGACATAAATCATAAAGTTAACAGCAAATAAGCGCTTATTATGACAGGGATTTGGCACAACAAAAATCCTATTAAAAATAAATATCTTTATATTAAGAATATAGACTTACATGTATATATATCTTGAATAGGGCATTTTTTTATTAAATTTTTTTTTTGAAGTGCACCAAAATAATGTGATGGTCAAATGTAGAAACAATGGGAAAGTACATTGAAAGGAATTACATGTTAAAGGAATGTTAAGGCAATAAAAAATCAGATCAACAACAGATAATCAATCTTCCTTATATATCAAAAAACCTAATGTGATTTTCACTTCCTTAGAGCAAAGTTCCTTTTCTTTGACAAACATAAATGTAAATGCAGCAATAATATCAATTTACAAATTGCATGGACTCTTATTTTACACTTATAGCAACAATAATCACTGAAGAAAAATAAAACTCCTTTTAAATTAAATGAACACATTGTTTATTTAGGTGCACATTTTTTGTGTTTCATATTTCTTGTAAATATATACTGTTAATAAAAATAAACAATATAATAAAATGGACTCACATTTGACATAAATAAATGATATATTCTGACTCATTTATAGAACCAAATCATATGTCTGCTTATCAAGCATCAATCATGAATAACAACAAAACACAAACTTAAAATTGAGCAAAATTAAATACCTAACAACTGAATCTTAATTAATGCTCCTCCCACTTTGAGACAAATAAATAATGGTAATCAGGGTACCAACATTAAAAAACATCATGAGCATATTAGACCAGTAGTCCTCACTTCTAGACCTAGTAAACACATGGTCATCCCAGCCCTGGAACCTTCCTGAGGAGATATCCGATTCTGAGATGATTGCCGAGACAGACGGTACCTCAGGCCCTGAGGCCTCATCAGATTCTGCCGCAGACAAGCTTCCATGTGACACAGACTCAATAACCTGAGTGGGGTCAACAAATATTGACATCACCTCGCTGTCATGGTAACTGCTGTTATTGGCAGTGACGTTCTGATGGTTACTGAAGAGGTCACCTGGTTTCACTGACATGGCACATGACTCGTACAAGGAATGTGATTGGCTGTTGAGATGTTTGGAATGTAGTGGGTGGTGTGACTGATTAAAGGAATGTGATTGGTCAGTGACTTGATGGGAATTCAAAGGGAACTGGCCTATTTGTTGGTCTGGTGAAGTTTCTACGGAGGACTCTAAACTCATGACAGCT